AAATATATATCGCAAGAATTGATCTCAGAACTACAATTTCGGAATGGATTTTCCATATCTCATATGATGTTGATTTTGAAAAAGATATCGCAAGAATTGATCTCAAAATGCCATTCCTGAATAGATTGCCCATATCTCATATGATGTTGACTTTGAAATATATATCGCAAGAATTGATCTCAGAACTACAATTTCGGAATGGATTGACCATATTGCATATGATGTTGATTTTGAAAAATATATCGCAAGAATTGACCTCAAAATGCCATTCCGGAATAGATTGCCCATATCTCATATGATGTTGACTTTGAAATATATATCGCAAAAATTGATCTCAGAACTACAATTTCGGAATGGATTGCCCATATCTCATATGATGATGATTTTGAAATACATATCGCAAGAATTGATCTCAAATTGCAATTCCGGAATGGATTACCCATATCTCATGTGATGTTGAACTTGAAATATATATCGCAAGAATTGATCTTAAAACTTAAAGTCCGGATTGGATTGGCCATATCTCCTATGATGTGGAGTTTGAAATATATATAGCAAGAATATATCTCAAAACTTCAATTCCGGAATGGATTGCACATATCTCAGATGTTGTTGAATTTGAAATATATATCGCAAGAGTTGATCTCAAAACTTCCATTACGGATCGGATTGCCCATATCTCATATGTTGTTGATTTCAAAATATATATCGCAAAAAATGATCTCAAAACTTCAATTCCTGAATGGGTTGCGCATATCTCATATGATGTTGACTTTGAAACATATATCGCAGATATTGATCTCAAAACTTCAGTTTCGGATTGGATTGCCCATATTTCATGATGTTGATCTTGACATATTTATTGCAAGAATTGATCTCAAAGTTTCAATTCCCTAATGAACTGACAATAACGCAATAATGTTGATTTTGAAATATATATCGCAAGAATTGATTTCAAAATGTAATTCCGGAATAGATTGCCCATATCTTATATGATGTTGACTTTGAAATATATAATGCAGGAAATTTTCTCAAAATTCAATTCCGGAATGGATTTCCCATATCTCATATGATGATGATTTTGAAAAATATATCGCAACAATTGATCTCAAAATTTCAATTCCGGAATGGATTGACCATATCGCATATGATGTTAACTTTGAAAATTATATCGCAAGAATTGATCTCAAAATGCCATTCTGGAATAGATTGCCCATATCTCATATGATGTTGACTTCGAAATATATATCGCAAGAATTGATCTCAGAACATCAACTTCGGAAAGGATTGCCCATATCTCATTTGATGAAGATTTTGAAATACATATCGCAAGAATTGATCTCAAAATGCAATTCCGGAATGGATTGCCCATATCTCATGTGATGTTGATTTTGAATTATATATCGCAAGAATTGATCTCAAAATTTACATTCCGGATTGGATTGCCCATATCTCCTATGATGTGGATTTTGAATTATATATAGCAAGAATTGATCTCAAAACATCAATTCCGGAATGGATTGCCCATTCCTCAGATTATGTTGATTTTGAAAAAAATAACGCAAGAATTGATCTCAAAATTTACATTCCGGATTGGATTGCCCATATCTCCTATGATGTGGATTTTGAATTATATATAGCAAGAATTGATCTCAAAACTTCAATTCCGGAATGGATTGCCCATTCCTCAGATTATGTGGATTTTGGAAAATATATAGCAATAATTGATCTCAAAACTTCAATTCCGGATTGGATGGTCCATATCTCATTTGATGAAGATTTTGAAATACATATTGCAAGAATTGATCGCAAAACGCAATTCCGGAATGGATTGCCCATGTCTCATGTGATGTTGATTTTGAATTATATATCGCAAGAATTGATCTCAAAATTTACATTCCGGATTGGATTGCCCATATCTCCTATGATGTGGATTTTGAATTATATATAGCAAGAATTGATCTCAAAACTTCAATTCCGGAATGGATTGCCCATATCTCATGTGATGTGGATTTTGAATTATATATAGCAAGAATTGATCTCAAAACATCAATTCCGGAATGGATTGCCCATTCCTCAGATTATGTTGATTTTGAAAAAAATAACGCAAGAATTGATCTCAAAATTTACATTCCGGATTGGATTGCCCATATCTCCTATGATGTGGATTTTGAATTATATATAGCAAGAATTGATCTCAAAACTTCAATTCCGGAATGGATTGCCCATTCCTCAGATTATGTGGATTTTCGAAAATATATAGCAATAATTGATCTCAAAACTTCAATTCCGGATTGGATGGTCCATATCTCATTTGATGAAGATTTTGAAATACATATCGCAAGAATTGATCGCAAAACGCAATTCCGGAATGGATTGCCCATATCTCATGTGATGTTGATTTTGAAAAAAATAACGCAAGAATTGATCTCAAAATTTACATTCCGGATTGGATTGCCCATATCTCCTATGATGTGGATTTTGAATTATATATAGCAAGAATTGATCTCAAAACTTCAATTCCGGAACGGATTGCCCATTCCTCAGATTATGTGGATTTTGGAAAATATATAGCAATAATTGATCTCAAAACTTCAATTCCGGATTGGATGGTCCATATCTCATTTGATGAAGATTTTGAAATACATATCGCAAGAATTGATCGCAAAACGCAATTCCGGAATGGATTGCCCATATCTCATGTGATGTTGATTTTGAATTATATATCGCAAGAATTGATCTCAAAATTTACATTCCGGATTGGATTGCCCATATCTCCTATGATGTGGATTTTGAATTATATATAGCAAGAATTGATCTCAAAACTTCAATTCCGGAATGGATTGCCCATATCTCATGTGATGTTGATTTTGAATTATATATCGCAAGAATTGATCTCAAAATTTACATTCCGGATTGGATTGCCCATATCTCCTATGATGTGGATTTTGAATTATATATAGCAAGAATTGATCTCAAAACTTCAATTCCGGAATGGATTGCCCATTCCTCAGATTATGTGGATTTTGGAAAATATACAGCAATAATTGATCTCAAAACTTCAATTCCGGATTGGATGGTCCATATCTCATATGATGTTGATTTCGAAATAAATATTGCAAGAATTGATACTTTACTCTATCTGAATAGCTAGCAAGTTTCGAATGGAACAGGTGAATACCTTTTGATTTGGTCAGCAATCAATTGTCATTGTTAGCAATATGGATTCTCTATCAAGTTGAACTTTGTGTCTGCGGGAAAACACTAACCTTCAGCCACTCGATTTTTACCAATCAGAGTGTGAATTAACGCATTGATTTTGCATGCTTTCACTTTCTTGCTAAGTAATTCCAATTTGTTTTAGCTTTAAGGAAAGACTGGAAGAAAACTTGAATTTCAAACTAGGTTCTTTTATAAAAGCAATTATTGCCAGACCCGGGTCGAGATCCCGCTCAAAAACCGCTCAAGATATGAGCGGTTTTCCAGCAAGATTTGAGCGGTTTGGGCGGCTTGGGCGGTTTTTTTGAAAAAACCGCTCAAACCGCTCAAATCTTGCTTAAAAAACCGCTCAAAAACCGCTCATTTCTTGCGGTGATTTTTGAACGGTTTTTCAAGCAAGATTTGAGCGGTTTTTAAGTGGTTTTTGAGCGGTATTCCCGGGTCGAGGTCCCAGACTCATGTCCATACTTTCGCGACAAAATTTTAGCATGTCCAGACTTTCCAGACCAAAATTAGGCATGTCCAGGCTTTGGCGTCCAAAACATGCATTTCCAGACTTTTGCGACCATGATGATCCGTCGCGACTATAGCGACCAAAGCAGAGGTGGCGCGACCAAAACATCGCGACTCATATTTGGTATGTCCAGACTCACGCGACCAAGAGTTGCCATTTCCAGACTTTCGCGACCGAAAAACTAAGGCGCGACTTTCGCGACCAAGGCGGATATGGCGCGACCCTGCGGGTCAGGAAATGGCGTGACCGGCGCGACCAAACCTAGCTATTTCCAGACTTTGCAGAACAAGATGGAGACGTCGCGACTTTCCAGACCAACATGGAGACGGCGCGACGGCTGGGCAATTGACCAATCGGTTTTTTTAAACCAAAAATTGGAAGAGCTTTTAAGAGCGTTATTTTAGCTAATAAAAAGTTTCGCTAAATAGCAGAAAAATATATCGTCTGTTTCTTAAGGCATTTTGAACATGTAGCTTTGATCGTAATGTAACGTTCTTTATGCATTATTGCTTTTAGCCTGGCATCAAGTTGCTGTAGTTCTAGAAAAAATTATGTCGCGCTGTGCTAGAGTGGGCAGCATGCGATTGCTCGCCTCTCAAGTTCTTTCTTTTTTTTCAGTCCGCTGAATATTTTTAAAAATTTTGGAACGTTAAAAAAATTGCTCGACGGTTTTGTTAGAGAATCTTCCATGTCCGCTGTCTTCTCGAGAAGGGATCCCAATTTGAGAGTGTTCGCCTCTTTTGAAGCAAGATTTGAGCGGTTTTTTTAGACGATTGCGCTCAAAATCTTGCTTCAAAATGAGCGGTTTTTGAACGGTTTATCTAAAAAAACCGCGCAAGATTTGAACGGTTTTGAGCGGTTTATCTTAAAAAACCGCTCAAAAACCGCGCAAGATTTGAGCGGTTTTTCTAGATAAACCGCTCAAATCTTGCGCGGTTTTTGAGCGGTTTTTTAAGATAAACCGCTCAAATCTTGCGCGGTTTTTGAGCGGTTTTATTAGATAAACCGCTCAAAACCGTTCAAACCGCTCATTTTGAAGCAAGATTTTGAGCGTAATTGTCTAAAAAAACCGCTCAAACCGCTCAAATTTCGCTTCAAATTAGGTGAAAAATCTCTACTCGGGGATTGTCAGCTATTTAACCAAAAGTCTAGTTAAGTTAAACGATATCTTGAAAAAACGCCGAATGTAACATTATCAATGATCCCCATTAAGGCCTGCTACTGATTTCGACAGGCTATGTTTGTATTTCCGGAAACAATGTTGTTTGCTATGCAATTTTTTTAATTCAAATTCATCATAACTTGAAATTACCAAAATATAACATTCAGTTCAGTTTTCTTGTACTGACAGATCTGTTACTAACTATAACTACTCAGTTTTCGGCAAACACTCCACTTTGACGTGCTTCATGTCCGGGCAAGTTTCTGGGTCGAAGTTGGGTCCCAGGTTGTACTGTTCCAGTGCTCTGTCGAGGCAGCAGTAGTTGGCCACCTGGAACTTGTAGAAGAGTTTGTCTGGACAGATGGATTCGAACTGGATGGGCTTGTAGAGCACCTCTGCCACCAGTGCTGGACACATTAGTCCCGGATAGATGTAGGCCTGACTAGCCAGTCTCTCTCCCAGCACACACGCCTCGCAAGCTGCTTCTTCATAGTTACCGCCTTGCAGAGTACCGTTCCCGCTCGTGTATCCTAAACACCATCACCAACAACTCACCATAGGACTTATTTCCAATTTTAGGTTTTTGGTTTATACCAAACTGTTGACCATATCGTTGACCTCATTCTTTCATTGATCAGAAAAAGTCACTAGCAGTTTGAGTAGTAAATACATTAGTGTAATTCACTCATTACCTTCATACATTGAAATCCAAACTACACGCCCCACGGTTACCACTGATTTAGCTATAATTCTTCAGCCCATAATGCTTGCTTTGTGCTCTCTAAAATTTTTTACTTGGAGTTTTTACATTTGAGTTGTTCCAGCCCTATTCAAGTTTGGTTGGTTAGGCTAAACTCGTAGCTTCTTGTGGTAAAACTAAAATTTACACATTGGTTTTCGCGTAATTGCTGATGAATAAACCGAGCCCAAAACGACCCACTTCAGAGAAAACTTAGTTAAAGAGTTTCGCAAATTTCGTTATATCTTTTTTTTCTGCTTAACTACCTCGTAAAAAAGAAAAAATATATATCTGATTGCCATCTGAATATTACTTTCACAAAAGTCATTCGAGATTTTTGTTGGATACTGGGTTTTCACCGAAAAACTGCTACAACTACTTGAAATTTGGTTCGTTACAAAAAAAACCGTTTTGGTCGTTTTAGTTCAAAGTCGGCTAATTAGGAATAAAATCGAAATGCTCCGGTTTTTTTTGAGAATCTTAAGTTTTACTCAGAAATGGATTGTTTTCGGCTCGGTTTAATTCATCATGAATTACTCGAAAATCCGTGTGTAAATTTTGGAACAAAATTTACTACAAGAAGCTTCTGATTTAGCACTACTACCAAAACTTGAATAGCAACTTTTCTGGAATGGTAAGATTTTTTCGAATGATTCTAAAACAGACAAGGATAACTGTTCTCTCTTAAGTCAGACAATGTTCTGGCCACATTCTTTACAAAATATTTGATTCCACTTAGTGTTTTTGTCAAGCGTGGTGTGATAAAACTATCCGAACAAAAGCCAAGAACTGAGGGGTTTTTGATGGCAATAGTGAAGAAAAACAACAGTTTTTGTTGAAAAATGATTGGGAAAACAGAAAAAAAAACATATCAAAAATCATTTTTTTTTTCAATTTTCCGACAGACTTTTAGCGCTAATAACCTTCTAAAACTAACTGTACAGGAGAAACATTTTCAAAGGCTTGAAAAAACGTTAGGCGGCTCAACCTTCAATAGAAATAAGCCTGCTAGCTCGCTTATTTGCTCAAAATTGGACTAAACCTAAAACTTGGTCATCTTTCGAAAAAAACTTAGTGTACTTCGAATAACGGTGAAAACTGATTCTATGAGTTCTATTTCGAAACAGTTCAACAGTCGAATATAAGTATCTTCTTTATTGTTTGGAAGCAATGCATACACAATAGGGACCTGAACTCCGTCTACTGATGCGTGTATATCTGAAAAAAGACATTCGGGGCCGTTGGAAAAATGGCACCGCAGAACCAATTATCAGCACAACTAAGCGAATCCAATACTGGAACAGCATTGAAAACCATAATTTGCCTATTATCATCTGGTCCAGAGACAAAATGAAGAAAAAGTTCGCCAATGTGAGTCACTTCCAGCAGCTCTGGTAGTTCAAAATCAAAAAATGATTGTTTCCTGTATTCTAGGCCGTCTTTTCTGCTCGACTCTGTTGACGGTTCTCTGATTGGCTGAATCGTTTGGAATCACTGCTGCAATTTCTCTGTTTGTGTCCCTTTGAGTGGAAAGAATTGTTTGTCTAGGTGGCTCATCTGCTACAACTGCTCTAGTTTTAAGAGCTGTTCTGAATTTTTGCTTCTCAATGTCGGCTGGATCTGGGAAATGACTATGATCAATTAGAATAGTGACCTTGTCTCGCAAAGTGCGCTCACGGCCGGCCATTACATTTTGATGGAACACGTCACCTCGAAATTGAGGTGTCAGCCAAAATTCTATGTTTTAAATAAGCGAATGCATCAAAATTTAACATTTCATTGTTTCTATTTGGCATAAAAATTTCCATTGTTGAACACAAGTCAAGAGCTTTAATAAGGATACTAGAATCTGTCACAGCTACGTTTGGTGTAACCATCAACCAAGCGATACTTGTTCAGGTATGTGTAAATGAGTTGAGTCTCTAATAGGCTATTCAGTGAAAACTCTGGTCTTGTCGCCTAGTTGCGCAACCATATCAAATTGCTCCTCGTTAATCAAAAATTTTATTAAAATGATCCGTTTGTTGTCTACGTTAGCAAATAGCTGGACAATTTTTGAACATTTTTGGGACAATTTTGTCTGCAAACCGAATATCTTGACACTTTCTACCTTTCAGCTGTTAAAAATGGTTCCAGTCAACTTAATTTCCTTAAACATGGTTGGAAAGATTACGAGGCATTTTTTCCCTGTTAAAAGTTCATGCAAAACAAATTGCACCATATTTTCTTGAGAAGAAATCCAAAATGCTTCTAACCATTTTTTTTTATTACATTGAACCCAATTTGAAAAAAAAAATGAACAAACTGATCTTATCCGATTAATTTAAATCAGCATTGTTTAGTGAATGCCAATTTGTTGGAAAAAAGTTTAGGTCATGAATTTTTAACTTATTGTCCTAAATTGTTATACGGAAAGAAGTCTTCACGCCTTCATTGAGTGCTGATTCGAGATATCCAGACAAAAAGAATAAAACTTTCAAACTAAAATTGCGTATTAACTGAATTGAGTTGAAAGTAAGTGAATACTGAAGACAAAACATGCTGAAATTTTCATCAAAAATTTTATGATGCATTTCGTTTGACAAAATGAGCGCCCAAAATTTTACCCCAGTCAGACAGTTACGCATCCGACGTGATGCATACCTTCATTTTGGCAAAACTATACGGTGGACCCGACAATTCCTTGGGAGGAGTGGAGTGATATTTTTCAACTTGCAGTGATAGCAAAGGAGAATCTTGATAAAGAAAAACGTCTGAATCCTATAGAAAGACACCAACCAAAACCACACATTCTAGAAAAACCGCAGGATAGCGAACTAGAAACACAGAAAACTGCTCACTCAGACAGATATTTCCAGATGCAAAAGATCGGAATCAATGAAGGCAGAAACGAACAATTCAACGGCATGAGAATCGAAGAAGCGGATAAAAAACTTCAATCAATTTTGTAGTTAGCTCTCGGAAACGAAGAAAGAAGGAGTTTAGGCCGAAAATTTACATGGGTGAAAACTTTCCAAATCTTCAAAGAATTTTGAGACAATTTATCAGTAGCATTTGAGGAAAACGAATGCCTACGTCTACGAAAGAGACGTAAGCTCCTTAATAAAAAACAGAGATAGAGAATTGCTGAAACAACTTTGAGCAGCTCTTGCCAAAATGGCAAAAAAAATGCGACATATCCGCAGGAGAAGATGAATGGATAATAGACATTTTTATTAACAATATGAAGAACTCAGACATCTAACGGAAACTTCTCACAGAAATCCTCCCACCCCCAGAAGCACTAAATGCGGCACTAATCGATGAAAAAAGAACGACTAACCACATGAAAATGACGAACACTTTCAATTCCAAGGAATCATCTGTAAAAAAAAACCTTTTAGTCAACTTAATGTAAAAAGGGAACCAACTGTAAATATCGAGCGGAGCAACACTTGTATGAAATGCATCGGCACATTTTCAAAGGTCACCTGGCGGTGTGTGCAGCAGAAGACACAACGTGAACAGCCTGGAAAAACAGAAGACACTGGCTGTAAAAATTTTAGATACAGTAGATAGTCAAATTGTACATAAGCAGATTGTAATTATCCATCGGAACAAGCGGATGTAAATAATGACCGTGTAAATAGAGAATGGTGTGGAATAATCAACGCATGGTCAAAATCCGGACAGAGCGACAATGATTCTCTGTATTAAATGTAACCACTATCTACGATGACGAAGTGAAAGAACAAGAAAATAATAAAAATCGGGCTCCGAAAAAACTAAGTGATCCTAGTATACAAGTTGACTCCGCCAGCCCTGTGAGCTTCAAGAGAAATGTACTTCATGAATTAAAACTACGAGACCCAAACCTAAGACATATCCCGTGGATCAACCGACAGAAGATCTATAACTTAGATTCACAGATAACGCAATAAACATCACTGGCAAGTTAATCATCCTTATGTTTTCGAACGGATGGTCTCACAACGAATGTCACTTTTTCTTAACGGAAGGCCACGAAAGACATTTTCTAGGCCGAAAAAGGAAAAGAGATAGATACTTTGTCCAAGATTTGTTAACAATGGTTTTTTCGGATTGGAAAAATAATAATTCAATCAAAAATTACTCACTTTCTTGAACCACTAAAATCAATCCAACTGAAAGGTAGATGTCTTCCCCTTCATTTACTCGGAACTAGACCGACAAGAGTAAAAACGGAACTAGACCGACTTAAATCCAGAAGTCACATTGAAAAGTTAGCAAATTGTCATTAAGATAGATTCATTAGCCCAATCGTTATCACTTGCAAGAAGGACAAATAAATAAAATTAGCACTTGACTCGAAATTTATCAACAAGCAAATATACAACAAATATCGAATGCCTAATAAACATGAATTAGTAGATAATGTTGCCGCTCAACTTTCTAACGATTCCACCGAAGAAGTCTGTTTACCAAATTGGACTTAACGAACGCTTATAGCCAACTCTCATTTGACAACTGTACTAGTAGCCAGTGCAATTTAAGCTTAGTTGATGGGGAGGGGACAAAACCGGCACGTACCAATTGTTAACCTGAGTTTATGGACTTAACGAACGCTTATAGCCAACTCTCATTTGACAACTGTACTAGTAGCCAGTGCAATTTTAGCTTAGTAGGTGGGGAGGGGATATAACCGGCAAGTACCAATTGTTAACCGGATTTTATGGACTTAACGAACGCTTATAGCCAACTCTCATTTGACAACTGTACTAGTAGCCAGTGCAATTTTAGCTTAGTATGTGGGAAGGGGACATAACCGGCACGTACCAATTGTTAACCGGATTTTATGGACTTAACGAACGCTTATAGCTAACTCTCATTTGACAACTGTACTACTAGCCAGTGCAATTTTAGCTTAGTAGGTGTGGAGGGGACATAACCGGCACCTACCAATTGTTAACCGGATTTTATGGGCTTGGCGACAAGCGAATGAATTCAAGAGAGTAATGGACTCAACAATCGGAGATACTTCTTCTACAAATTGTTACCTCGACGATATCCGGGTGGCTTCCAAAGGAAGTTTTACAGAACACAAAAAAAACTATTTACAAAACTTTATCGAGTTTAAACGAATAAAATTTCGCCGTTAAGTGGCCAAAATGTAAACTCTTTGAGTAAGAAAAAAGAAAACTGGGATTTAAAATATCCAAATCGGGAATCGGAATATTAGCGGACAAAACTAAGATTTAGCAATTCAAAACTATTCAATTAAGCCATCAAAGATTTACCAATTCCAAAAAACCTGAGGGAATTAAGATCAATCTTCTGTTCAACAAACTAATACATTTAATTTGTTCCAAATGTTTGGCAACCTGGGAAGTTTTTTAAGGCCGCTGCTAAATAAGAAATCAATATTCAATTGGAATGAAGAGCATACAAAATCGTTTGAGAAGAAAAAGGAAGAAAAAATAGTAAATCTTGCAGTGAAAGCGCATTTTTACAATAAGCGTAAAATGAGAGTAAAAACAGACGCATCTCATAACGGACTCGGAGCCTCGTTACAACAACTCCACGGGAATGACTGGAAAACAGTCTCCCTCGCTCCAAGATTTTTGAATCCGCATGAACCTAAATATTCCATAAATGAGTTGGAAGTTTTGGGAGTTGTTTGGGCAGTCAAGCATTATAAGAATTATCTTTACGGCTCGGAAATTGAAATCATTACTGATCATAAAGCCCTTTTAAGTACTTTAGCCTAATTACCGAAAAAAAACGTAGTCGTCTAACTAGATGGGTCGATCAACTTTTACCTTAGAATTTTATTATTAAACATCTGGCAGGTAAAGATATGGGCTTGACATTTCTAATTTCAAGAAACCCATGGGGTAAAGCAATCCCACATCCCATTACGACGAAGAATTCGTGGTCACTACAATTAAAAAAATCGAAAAGCAATAAATCGAAATGCAATGCTTTTGGGTCAAATTCGGATAATTCCAATTACGCATGATTACGTATTTACTTTAACGCTTCGGTTCTAAAGTTAATTAACTCGACTCTTACAATTTGTAATTTAAAATACAACAAAACTGAACTTTTCGATTCCAAATTTATTTCTTCTGTTTTTTGAAATCATTAAATCTACCAAAATTTCTTTGTCAAATTCTGGTTTTTTATATTTTTAATTCCTAATCGTAGCCATACTAATTCTCCTCGGGATCTATAATTGTGAACACTGTGAAAATGTCCAATACTCAAATTGTAACTAGTCCCTCTACTTCCGGTGTCCAAGTTTCAGTCGAATTCCCTATTTTATCAGAAAATGAGAAACTTGTAAATAAAAACCGAGAAAATTTCAACGTCCTCTGGACCTTATTCAACGCTGAGCTGGTAGCCCTATTAATAGAGAAAGATCCAATGCTAAGTCTTATCGTCAAAGCCCTTCAAGATAATGTCGACATAATAATGCAAATTCCCATTACTTGACCCAGTTTATTCGAGAATTTCGCGAATCCGACAGATTATTTTACAAGGATGGAAAACTGGTAATCCTTCTCACCTTACGAAACGCAGCTATGAAGACACTTCACGGGGCCCATCCGGGACAATTCGGCATGAAATACATTGCTCAGTAAATATGGTGGCCTCAAATAAACCGACAAATTTAATTCCACGGTAAAAACAGTTCCCAATGCACAAAAAAAATGTAAGGTGAAAAAAAATTATTCCTTGTACTCAAATCAGCAAATTATTACCTTTACCGGAACCTAATTAGGAAATAAGTCTTGATTTCGCAAGTCCTTTGGATTCAACATGGGGAACAAACATATATTTTAATATGCATTAACAGATTTACAAAATTTCTCATCTAAAATCACATCTACCACTTCATCAAATTACTTTTATTTACACGGCATTCCCTTTTGTATTCGTGTCGACCACGAGTTTTATTTTATTGACCACGATTTTGAGATTTCAATGTTTTAAATTATTATTTTGTACAGTAGGCGGACCTCGCTCTAACGGTTTAGTGGAAAAACTTGAACATACTGTAGAAATTGAAACATTTACAATGGCTCAAGAACATCAAAAACCTACGTTACAACACGCGGTCTCAAAGTTTATCGGGAACCTTCGTTCGTCCTTTCAATCAAAGATCAAATGTTTACATTTTGAAATACGCTTCAATAGAAAACCTGACACAATCCGGTGGAAATTTGAACAATGGAAAATCAACCCTAATCAAAAGAGGGGCTCTTGACTGGAACTCCGATGACCGGGTCGAAGACGGATATAAGAACGTATAATCCCGGCGAAAAACTAGTTTCCGTTGGAGAAAGGCAATTAGTCAGACTACTCTTCACCACCCAAGCCTTCATCGTCCCGAATGCCATTACAAAGTCCTTTCAAAGGTTATATACCTCGGAAAACTAAAAAGAGAGCATAAACGGAAAACTTTTTATAGAAAATTGAACCAGAAGATCATAATTGCTTCAAAAATTACGATAGAGTTATCCGACGGAAAAATTATCAGAAAAACCGACATCGCCCTACCGAAATCAAACTCTAATACTCGTTCCTTTAGAGGAAAAAATTTCTTTCCGGTGCTTCCTAACTCTGAATTTGAAGTAGGGTCAAAGCGGAATACCAAAGCGAAACAGCCAACTGCCAGAAAACCATGCCCCAAGCCAAGGCTTCAAATGAGTTAGCTACTTCCGATAACGACACAAGGACCAAAATCTCAGAATCCTCAGCCAAACCGGATAGAAACAAATCTTCGTAAAAAGGAACACTAGTTAAACGCACGGCACTTAGCTTGCGACGAATCAATGTTAATTCCGTCGGACACATCAGACCTTATTGACTGGGAATGGATAGCGGGAGGTTTCCCTTGCAGAGATATGATTAGTGAACGTTCGATTTCTGATAATATTAGAGAACCTGATTCTAATATTCCCACCCTAGACTCATCTAGCTCGGGATAATATAAATACTGAGGTTTTAGACGGCCAAGCTTCATCGTCGGATCCGCTCATCTGCCCAATCAACATCATCCCCGTAGAACGGAGCCGCACCCAACTTCCACCAACCACACTCCAACAACTATAGAAGCCAAAAAAATCAGACTTTCCGCCGAATAAAAAGGAGACTCCACAAAAGGATGCGACTGTAGACTTCCATATCTACGAAATAACCAATTCTTTGGACGAAAACACGGCTGTCTAAGGTTCTTCAAATAACAATAACATAACCCGTAACGAGTTTAAACTTCGTCGGTGGGGGCGAAATGTAGGACCTCCTCAGTGTTCCGGTAAAAGACTATACATAGACAAGGAGGGTCAGGACGAACAGGCCAGATCTGCAACAAACTGGATCATTTTTGACCATTATCTACAACCCGGATCGGGCGGTCGGGACTTCATCCCCAATTCTTTCGGATAACAAATTTCCAATTTTCTCAATCCACTCCAACTTCGAAGCAGCGAACACATCGGACCTACTATCCCTCTCTTTGACAGATCAATCCTTGAGACTAGCTGTTGACAACTGCAATGAAATCGGAGATCTGGATAACGAATTGTTTAACGCGGAACTGGAAAACTTTATGGAAGATGACAAAAACTAATTCAGTAAACTTTTGCTCACTTCGCCCTAATTTGGTTGATTTTTTTTGTTGACACGCTAACTTTTGATCGCTCAGTACACACCTACACGGTTTAACACTTACGCGCTAAATTTTCATCGGATTTACTCTGAAAACTCAGTTAGAAATTTATTTTAACTGCTTATTTAGCAAACGTTAGTTATGTCATGTTTTTATAGTGCATAACTTAGTGCACTTTAATTTAGTTGCTTACAGTTCTCTCGGCCTCCTTTAGGGAATGAGGGTATAAATTCCAAAAAAACTGCTCGAAATGTTTATAATTTGCTTTTAAAGAAAATGATGTTGTTTTGTAAAAATAACCATTTTGGCTATAAATTAAAAATAAACTTAAATTGCAGTAGTTTTTGAAGATTATACCTTCTTATACTTTGCTGGGCCACGTCGGAGGCTCACTTTGCTTAAATCTTAGCAATGATTGGGCCAATAGTTGTGGCGTTATTTCTGACTGATTGGCGTAAAAATTTTGTACCAGTTTTGCCAAAGAAATTACGAAAATAATTTTGCTGTTGTTTTTTCTTCAATAAGCAAGACTTTCTTCTTCAATTTTCACCTGATGTCAACCCAATTTGTACGGATAATATATATCAGCACTGTAGAATAAATCAGCACAGCGCCAAAAAATTCAATATGTCATTAAGTATTCAAAACAAGCTTATAAGAACACGCTGTTTGTCATGTTTCAGAAGGATATTCAACCGTTGTTGATTGTCACGAATATTAGCAAACGGTAAGTTAGGTTTAAAGTAAGTGATTTTGACCTCTGAGGAAGAAGTGGTATGACTCGGGTGTCATGGTCCTCACTAGTCGCATGCTGTCCTCGATATCGTCCGGGTAGCCATGATGAGAGTAGAACTTGGCCTTCTCCGCATTCGTCAACATATCATACCCAGAGTCCAGTCCCCTAGACAAAATAAAAAAGATCATGAAAGAAACAAACAGTATAAAGACCGAATTACTGCTAAAAAGATTAAACACTCATGGTACTAAAGGGTCGAGTCCAAATATTACAAACAGTACAAGTTCATGAATGTTGAGGCTGAAACAATTATTTTTTTGAAACGCGAATCACCATTGAAAGAGGTAAAACCCCCCGATACACCACCCTTAACTCCCTACGCGCTTTTTTTGAGGTACCTAAAAATGAACGGAAAACAAAACGCACCCCACGTCATAGTTTCTTTCTACTTCATTAAGTGGTCGAAACAAAAACATCAATTACTTTTGAAAGTTATACAATTCTAAATGAATGCTATACCATTATCTACATGTGAAGTGTGCTTTAACCTATCAAACATTTGCTCGTTCTCACACTCCCACATGACACCCAAGTTCTCTCGCATCAGTCCTCGGGCATACAGGCCACTGAGGGGGAAGAACTGCTCGTACATGTATTTCTCATCCAGGCACTTCTTGACCTTCGCCTTGTCTGAAGACGAGATCGGAAGTTTCACTCCTTTGCAACAAGATTCCACTTCATCCACAAACGACTTTGTACTCTTGTATGTCAAAAACGACTCAGTGATGGGTGTCTCAATGCAATCTAATGCCGGATTATAATAGTTTTTCTCCATCACGCAAATAGAGTCCAAATAACCATCCGCGTTGTTCTCCACCTTGTCCAGGATTCCGTAGTATCGCTCTTTCAACAAATTCCAGTAGGTTGGAGCGGAAGCTTCGATGGTCCTGCAACATTTCAACTCACGTATCACAGTGAGAACATCGCAAATAAGTGTACAACTGCACAAGTACAAAGATTTATGCTATTCACATCAGAAAATTATCAGCTTAAGAAGAAAGTAGCATAGCAGCAAAGTTTTGAGACACATTTCCAAACATTCTGTTTCTGACCGCTTTCTGAAAGTTTGACAAAACACTTCGTTTTTTTTGGCGTGCGTTTGCTGTAAAATTTAAAAATCTAGGCGTCGAAAAACATGTGTAAAATTGGATGACATGAAAGCAAAAGGAGACTTCCGTGAAACGAAATTTAGTTCCTTAAATTGGATGCTCGGTGTGTTAAACTTTTATACTGTTCGATTTTTTGAAAGTTTCTGTATTGCAAGTTTGAGGGGGTGGGGTGGGAACAGACAGACGTTTTGAAGAGGTAGGTATCCCAGTCGGTCTCTATGCCGTAGTCCTGATTGAGACAGTCTTTGTTCATGTCTGCGGCTATTTCGATTATACTCTTCAACTTTTTAGTGAGTGCCTGTTGTTGCCAGCAGCGATAGTGCACCGAGCTGAACTTCTTCGACTTGTCCGAGTGGAGAATGTGGTCGTCTACTGTGTTGTGCACACAGAGCGAGTCCAGTGCGTCCCATTTCACTTTTCGTACAAATCCTTCAGTGCATTCGGGCGAGGCTGAAAGCAAACACAAAAAAACTCAAAAACAAAAAATATCATCTTACAGTCGGCTTTGTTATATTAGAACCAAGAAATTATCATTCACTAATTTCACGAATAAAATAATGGATCCTCTAGTCTTTTCATGTCAAAAAGAATTTTGGAGTTTTTTCAAAGTGAACCAAATTACTTTTTTAAGGAGTGTTTTCAAAGTGAACCAAATTACTTTTTTAAGGATTTTAAAAGTAGTTAAACTTAGATTTTAAGGAATTAGTTAAACTTAAAGATTCAAGGGCGCGTATAGGTCAAAAACGTGCATTGAAATGATGTTTTCATATGGAAACTGACTCTTGCTTTTTGCGCACTTTTCGAAGTACGCTTCGACTGGGTCTTTGTGGTCCTGCTGACAGTTTAACTTCTCAAAAGCGTTTTCAAAATTGGATGCACATTTTTCCATGTGTCTCAGGTACTGTGCATCTCTGCTAGCAGGCTCTTTCCATTTAAGGAATAGTTTCTCCACTTCCAGTTCTTTCACGCGTATTTCATCCAGACACCTAACTCTGTCATTACCAATGGGATGCTCCGTGCAGCACTTCGAAATGGCTCTCAGTGGTTTAGTGAACAGTTTGCAGTTTTTACAGCTTTTTTGGTAGCTTGCAATTTGGTTGTTGTTAGGGGCATACAGGCAAAACTTCTTTCCACCATCTCTGTTAAAATGGTCCTGACTTACAACTGACTGTATTAAAAATCCAGCTTGTAGCAGCACTAAAACTAGTGAAATTTGGCGCAGGTACATAGTAAAATTAGGTTGAATTTCGTTACTAAGTAAAATTAGTTACGACTTGCTATGAATGAAAGATTAAAGTAGCTAATCGGGCTCACAATCACAACTTAAGAAGTTTGGTTGGACCAAAATAATATTATGAACGCAAGTAAAAGTACAAGAAGAACAAAAATTGAAGTGAGATATCTAACAGAAAGTTTAAACAAAACCCACTATTATGTAAAGGTTCGTGTTGCGTTATCAGATTGAGTCAACTGAAAGAGAAAAGGGTCTCTAAGAACAGTGGCCGAAGAATGTATGAAATGATTTGTTGGAGCGAGATAAATAAGAACACGTCAAACTCAGTTCACCAATTATGCCACGCGAGTCATGTGTTTCAGTGTACCTTTCAAATGAGAGTACAGAACGCGTTTGTGCCAATTTCGAAACTAACTTCAATAACTTGACCTCGAAATGCCGACTTTTTAATTATACATTAGAACTGCGGTTGTTTGATCAAGGCTACCAATCAAAATGTTTAAAAACACATCGCGCCAATTCATAACAATAAATTTTTCATGACAAAAAAAGCAATGCCTGAAAACAGTTTTTGTTTATAGCAGAAAAATTTTGTTGGTTCAAACCTTATGGCAATTGGTGGATTTTTCACTCAACTTCGAGTATATAGTGCTGATTTAAATTATCCGGACAAAATGAACAAAACTTGAATGTTTAAACACGTTTTTCTCAAACTGGGTCAGGATTAGACAAAAAGTGAAGAGAACATAAGTTGCTTAGAAATTCACCAGAGTTATTATGGTCCAATTTTTCTCCAAAATTCTCAACCAGAACTTTACCCCTAAATGGGTCATTTTAGCGTTTTTCAATTACTCAAAATTATGCTGAAACTACTGTGTAAAAGGATAAAAAATTTATATCGCAAGAAGCCTCTTACACAGCCCAACAAAGCTCTAGGAGGGTTAAATCTCCAAAAACCTGTATAAGAGAAAATATTTTTGCGTGATTTTCAAATTTACTCAATTTTTTGGAGATTTAACCCTTCTAGAACTTTGTTGGGCTGTGTAAGAGGCTTCTTGTCATATAAATTTCTTATCCATTAGCACAGTAGTTTCAGCATAATTTTTGAATAATTGAAAAAAACCAAAATGACCCATTTTTGGGGTAAAATTTTGGTTGAGAATTTTGGAGAAAAAATTGTATCATAATAATTCTGGGGAAATTCTAAGCAACTTTCTTCACTTTTTGTCTAATCCTAACCCAATTTAAGAAAAACGTGTTTGAACATTCAAGTTTTGTTCATTTTGTCCGGATAATTTAAATCAGCACTGTATAGATGCAAGTTCTTACAGCATCTGCGATTTTGAAATTTTTTCAGTTGTTGTTCGGATGCCTATTTTTGAACATTTTCTTACAGCATCTGCGATTTTGAAGTTTTTTCAGTTGTTGTTCGGATGCATATTTCGGAAAACTATGCATGCAAAACCTGATTTATCAGGCAAAATATGTGCCTCAAAGTTGTCGGAAAAATTGAAATTGCATGCAAATATCTGTCAAAGTGGACGATTGCTCTTTTTTTTATATAAATTCTGTCTGTTTAATTTTTTCGCTACTAATTATAACTGCGGTTACCATGCTAAGTACTTTTCGATACGATACTTTCCTCTTGGGCGCCAACAGAGAGTTGTAATAAGCGATACGAAGTTCTCATGATGGCGGCCAGTAAAAAATGGGATACATCAGGGACCAGTCTTGGGTCCGTTTTCATTTTTATTTTATATTAGTTCAATGCTAGAGAAAATAGAATAAGAAATCTTCCTATTTGCAGACGACGCTAATTGCACCAACAAACTGTGTTCTGTCAACCTAAATAAATGCGTACAGATGATTAAAAGCAAAAGTAATTTAAATTTGGAGACGAACTTTGAATAACGGTTAAAAGAAAAACGAAGTTTAAACTGAAAAAATCCTAGGTATTTGGTTTTATAACAGAATGACATTTTAAACAAATATTAACAAAAAAATTTCCTAAAGCCAAAGCCATGATTGCAATTGTCAAACGAACGTTCCGGAAACTTAAAAAAAATGTGTTACCAATTATCTACAAAGCCTTGGTTCGACCGCACTTAGAGTTTGCAATTCTTATATGGTACCCTGACTGCAAAACAAAAGGATCTAAGATAATGTGCAGAGAAAAGCGACACACCTTATTGAGGGACTCCAACAGTTATCATAATACCACTGCCTAAAAAAATTGTTGTAATTTCTCCTATTGAAAAGCCACTGACTGTCTATTCGAGCAGAAAGAAAGAAGCTCAAAGGGAAATGATTGCAATATAAAAATGCAGATAGCAAACTTGGACATCAGGGATTGACAAAAAGAGCGAAAAAAACTAGAGATTAAAAAGCATATTTGACACTAATTGTAAAATAAGCAAGCTAAAAAACATTTCTTATCAAAGAAAATTGACTAGAAAAACAAAAAAATTCAAAAAAATGCAGATTTATGAGTTTTTAAAGTTTTCTGTTCCAAAAAGGCGCTTAAATACTCAAAAAAACTACTGTTGCTCGAGTGAAACTAATCTTTCAGTTGATATAATTTTTTAAGCCATTAAAATAAACTATTATAAGCGTGGTCGCTCGCTTTATTCGCTCGAATAGAGACCAAAAAAAATTCCACGCCGGTTTTTCTCGACACGAATCAAACTAAAAGGGCTTTAATATGATCTATCACTCAACCCAATCCAAATTTTATTTGCGTGATACCTGATTTTGCGTGGGAAAAACTAAATTACACCCGAAGCCAAAGTTTATATCTATTTTTCAATGGTCGGAATAGTTAAGTCTCATCGCATCAAATGTGCAAAAAAGTTTTTGATTTGAAATGTGATAAATTTTATTTAAAAACTTTTACTTCATTGACGTTTTCTCCCGTTTCATGATCGGAGACCAAAAGACCTCAAAAAAAATTTTCGCATCAAATTTGTAAGCTCAAATTGAATCCTATCGTACACAACCAATCCCCAATTAAGAAACAATTTTTTTTCATGTATTAGAAATGCAAAAAGTTGGAGCGTATGTGAACAGATTCTTGATATCTTGAGGACTTTACCTTTCATTCATTATTCTTCATGCAGAATTGTTCCTAATGTAAATTAGTAATGATGATTGATCAATTTTTCTTTTAAGATGACTGTATTAAAATTATTTGAGACCATAGTTAAAGCTTGAACATAGGTTTTCAAATGATCAGAAAAATAACCTGTAACCTGAAAAAGGGCCAAGAAAACGTACGCGCACACCCTCAATTAAAAACAAAAAATTTTACAACAGCCAGTGCAATGTTCAACCATCAGTGACATCCGACTGTGATTTATGTTGAAATGTTCCAAAGAAAAAACCAAAAATGTCTTAGACTTTCAAACAAAATTAAACGTTTTTTCTATAAACAGCACTATCTCGTTGATGTAAATATTTTGGAAAAATCAAAATAAATGCTCTGGAGTGGGTTCCAGTAAGGATCCAAGAACTAAGAACCACAAGTTTTCCTTAAAGAAATCTGAAAGTAAAAAATTATCATATTAACCGAAGCTACTTAACTAGTACTTCATCATTTCACCCAGTCAAAAAACGCTTGGAATTTCACACTTGAAGGAAAATTAAAGAAACGTACATCGCAGAGCAAAGTAAAGAGAGTCAGATGGTTGGGAATAAAACCAACACAAAGTAACAAAAATTGAAGGAAACAAAAATTGACCTGATATGAGGTTACTAGTCTATCAGATACTTACACTCGACTGCATTTATTGTCTCTTGGTTCTACAAATTAAAGGTTCTTCGAAAGTCGTTTTTATCGTTAAAAGTGGTGAGTACACAAGCAGCGTTTGCAACCTGCAATGCGAGGGAGACTCGCGGCGTAAGAAAACAAATTGACTTGGGTTTCTCGGTACAAGTGCTCAAGTTCCTAGAGCTTAAAAGAAAAATCTCAGTGCAAGAGCCGGCCGCATCCTCAACTTAGATAGCGGTTTGATTGAAAAACATATCCACCATTAGCTTACCGTAATTCAACTTTTTAAAAAGTAGCCGTACTGCAAATTACTCCTTTTGATTTTACGTCTCTAAAGTTATACGCTTTTAGGTTAAGTAAATAGGTTATTGGCCAAACGATTTACAATAAAAACAATAGTTAAATCAAGTTTTGAGCAATTTTTTTAAAAGAAAAATCAATTTTTTTTGCCAGGAGTTTTCTGAAAATTCTATGTTAACCACATATTGTGCGTCATCGAACAATTGTATCAAGATCTATTGAGATCTATGCAGGTTTCAGTCGTGAGTTAAAATGATCTCTTCATTAAGTTCAGATTTGAAAAGTTTCAGATTCTTGCCTCGCACAAATGTGTGAGGCAAGTTTATCTTACTTTTTCTTTCTGTCAGCAGAAAGTTACTTTTTAAACATTTTCGACATTAGGAGCGGTGAAATTGACTAACTTTTGCTCTAAACGCGTCTAAAGGCAGAGATTTTAAAAACTGTTGTGGTAAAAACTGTTGTGTTTTAAAAACTGTTTAAAAACCGAACATAAAAACTACTTGCTGGGGACAAAGAGAAAGAGTAGCCGGCTGCTGTACCAGTAGCACAGAATATTTCTACCACCGCCATCTTTGTATTTATAACGTTTATGTTTTCAAAAAATCTTCGGTTTTTTCAGCAAAACTTTCAAAATAACTGAAGAGTTTAACAGAAAATTTTTTTCTTTTGTTTTAAATAGCTTGAGTAGAGGAAGGCACAAGTTTGAACCAATTAAAAACAATGAACCAAAAAGTATTTATAGCTGAAGCAAAATTTATAAATAAGAGCGACAGTTCCGACTCATTCTCAACCCCGCAAGAATTTTATAGATAGCGAGGAACATTACACATAAGTGTTACTTGGAAGCAAATTTCTTATCAAATTTTTGAATTTTGTTGATGTTTTCATGTTCATCCTCCCTAAAACCAATATATAATATTCATTAGTCATTGAAAATCATTCAAAAGCATGTGTCTGCTTGAAGTAGCAATTTAGGCAGAAAAATGAGAAAATTTAGATAAAGTTTACTAGGCACTCAAAAACTTTTTTCGAAGAAAAAATTCGTCTTAATGTCACCAAATGAAGAACTAATCAAGAATTTAGAAAATTTCAAAAACTGCACAAAGGTTATAGAGAGTTGCAAAAAGTTCGGACAGAGAGAATAAATTAAAAAGAGCAACTGGGCTGGCATAATCCTCGAATAATCGACGATCTCGCATATTGAACTTGGTCTGACAAAAAATCAAGATTGTTCGGCTTCAGACTTTGCATCAACAAAAACGTCAAAAAGCACTGATTGCTCATTTTAATTAATTCTGTCTGTCCGAACTTTTTGCTACTCATT